TTTTTTTTTTTTAATAACAATTTGGTTGCTCAATTTAGACAGCATGGAAGGGATTTTTCCACCCCTTGGTCTAAAAAAAAAAGAAAAAAAAAAAGTCCAGGTGGAAGTACTAAGGCAATGGGGATTAACCAAACAAAAAATTAAGATCAAATAAGCAATATATATGTAATGCTAGCAGGTGAGGCAGAAATCTGAGAGGTTCCAAGTTTGGGGGATGAAGGGAGGTGCTGAAATCTTCAAAATCCTGCTAACTCTTCAATGCACTCAGAGGACTCTTCAGTGTCTTTAGTACAAAATGGGGAGGGGTATGCCTTGGAGTCCTCATGTGACAAAAACCTCTAGGGGACCACACTGTATTTCAGAGAGAATGGAAAACCACTTATTGAGAAAAAGGCAACTAGAGTTAGAGAATCCTGTTACTTTACAGACTAAATCTATATGTAGAAGGGATCCTGGTATAGTCATTTAGCCCAGATTGTATGTAAAAATCCCTTTCATAGCATCCAGGATAGACGGCCATTTTAATCTTTGTTTTTTTTCTGCATTTGCAGAAACAGGACATTATACTAATTGAATGCATTCCCCTTTAGAACAACCCTTATCATTAGAAAATTCTTTCTTATATTGAAGCAAACATCTGTCATCTGTAAATGTCCTCTCTTTATTCTATTTTTGCCCTTTGAAGCTACAAAGAATAAATCTAATTCTTCTTCTATCTAGCTCAATGGAAATTTAGAGGCAGCTATCATATGATTCCCTCCTTGTCCCTTCCCACTATACCTTCTGTTCTTCAGGAGAATTATTCCCGTTCACTGTAGGGTCACACTCTTCACAACCCAGTCACTTGCCTCTGGACACATTCAATTTACTAACGTCTCTCTTAAAATGTGCTTCCCAAAATCGAACCCAGATGTGGATGGACCAAAGCAGAGTCTAGGGCTCCCTGGATTTCTGTTAACAGTGGTTGAATGCATTAGCTTTTTGAATACCATAATATACTCCTGACTCAAAAGTGAACTCACACTTCCATTTAAAAAAAACTTCTACATATAAACAGCTGTTAAATCAAGTCTTCCCAATACTCTTCCCATCAACACACACACACCATAAAACACACACACACACTCCACTGTGTACTTACAGGGTTGCATTTTAAAAACCCAGTACATAGGGTTTCTCATTCATACCTGTTCTATTTCATTCTTTTAGTTTCAGTCCTATGTTCAGATATTTCAAAAAAGCGTAGTGATCGGTATATCCTAGAGCCAGTGCATAGTTAAAATTCAATACATGCTCACGAATAAATGAATCCCAGATTTGTAAGCCAACAAACTGGGGATCTTGTCCAGTTCTGTGTCATCTACAAATTTGGTAAGCATGCTTTCTGTCTCCTCACTCTATACAGCGCAGGCAGATAGAAGGTGCCTCTAAACTGTTAGCTGTGCATCTCCTTTGAGATGGCCTATGTAGTTCCTTCGTGTGTGCGTGTGTGGTGAGAAAACACCAAGGTACAAAAAAGCAGCAGGGTACAGTCTGTGAGCAGAACAGACGAAGGGAAAACAGATTTAGTGTCTCAGACTCTTGCAATCAGGGTTCAATGTTCCCAGGACTAAAAATACGGCTTTTCCCCATTTCTAGCCTAGAGTCTTCCACCTTTTAGATCTCTGACAACACTGTGATTATCAAATTCTGAATTTGGGAGGAAAGCTCATTAAAACTTACTTTTAAAACCACTTTTGAAATGAACATTTCTGCCTCAATTTCCTGTAAAGTTGGAGTTAAAGAGACACGTAACTGTCTATTGGCTAAGAGGTATAAAAAGATCTCCCCAAAGCCCCCCAAATGCCTGAGGTATAATACGTAAATATTCATTTTTTTCAGGAATCATAAATGGCCTGTATTTTTCAGTGTGAATTTGGAAATTCACTGAACTGAATATAATCTTATAATTAATGTCCCTTTTCCCCAGAATGAAGAAAAATAAGCTCAATGTTGCTTTCCCTTTAACAGCTGCTCGTCTGCAAAAGTACTCTATTGAACCTTTGTTTCTATTGTCTATCGTGACTCAGGGTGGCAAACCCTGGAACTGAACCTCAGAAAGACGGCAAACGTGTTTCAATCTAGACAATCTAGAACCAAGAGAGAAGATGTCTGGAAAACTTCTGTTGCATAGTGTTTACATTTAAAGAATGAAGACATCTACAAAAGGACTAGGTGACTAAAAGAGGAATTTGTTTTGCATCTTTTCTGAACCTTTTCTAGAGGGAGTGACAAAGGTGGATTCTTAGTGAATTAACTTCTCAAGACTGCGTTTTCCAGAAACTCACGTAAGTGACAATGAACATCAGAAAGAAATCATGCCAACCACTGATGTGGAAAAAGTTCTTCTCCTGACTCTACTAGTCACAACGAGCCACACACCAGTGCTGTGAGATAAGCAGGGACGAGACAAGGAGGCTTAAATATACAATAAGCTCCAAAAGTCAGGTGAGTCACTAGCTTCAGGCTTGATCAGAGCCAATCAGCCTTTCCAAGGCAACCACCTCAGGGTTTCCTGTGAAGATACAAGCACCTGCAAACAGGGAGGTCTGATACACTGTCCCCAACATGGAGCAGCCATGTAGGTACTGACTTGAACTTCAGCTATGCAGGAAGACATCTTGCCATTACTCCTGGGTCAGGGTCCCCTGCAGCAGGGCTTTGTCACTGGACCCCACACTCCCTGGGATTTTCCATCTCGTCTCCTTCAAAGTCTGGCTTCAAACTCTTTTTTTGCTCAATTTCCACCTGTTAAGAACAGAAGTTGGAGTGTAATACTAGAAAGAAGAAAAAAGCATGCAAGCAAATCCATAAACCAAAAGAGAATACCTTACTAGTTTCTTTGAAATTCCTTGTACCTTTGTTAATGTTTTGGGCTTTAGATACATTGGAGCTACTGACCCTGAGTATATCGTGACTCTGTCTTTGCACATGCTTGGTCTGGAATTCTCTCTCCCTCATGAACCACCTGGAAAACTCTCATTCCTTGCCTTGCATGGTCCCTCAAAGGTCACCTCTTTGATGAAGCTGCTCTTGACTCACTAGGTGCTTTTCCCTGTGAATATATCCACTGTAGCTTGTACACTTGTCTGGCTCCACTCTAACATAAGCTTTGCAAGGTCAGGGGCAGTATCTGTTCACTACTGTATCCCAGTAATGTAGGCATGCAGTAGGCAATTTTGACAAAAGTTTATCAAATGAATGAATTCCTTTGTCATTGTTTACAACTCTCCAACACATTACACCTCTTTAAAAAGTCTTCAAATTGAGAAGTATTTGGAGTGTTTACAGTTCTACCTATATGTTCTACAAAATACTGCATCTGTAATTATGAAGGGATTAATAAATTAATCTTGCCTTGAAAGCAACACACCTCAACTAAAGCTTATGATAAATCAGGCAGGGAATCCTTGAGGGACTTTATAATTAAGGCTGCTACTCTCAACACCACCTTGGATATTTCTGATGCTTGATTAAAACCAGTTGCTGTTGAGTCAATTCTGGCCCGTGGAGAACCCATGTGTGTCAGAGTTGAACTGTGTCCGTAAGGTTGTCCATGGCTGATTTTTTGGAAGTAGATCGCCAGGCCTTTCTTCCGAGATGCCTGTGGGTGGACTCAAACCTCCAACCTTCCAGTTAGCAGCTGAGCAGTTAACCATTTGCACCACCCCAGGACTCCATGATGCTTGACTCAGCAACAATTAAAGATACAGAACAGCTGACTAGGGTCACATTTGAGGGAAGTGCTATTTTCTTCCTGACCACAAGATGGAGTATTTGTTCTTTTTTACAGTTAAACGTTTTAGATTACACAACTAAGGAAGCATTTAGAGGAAAAATGAACACCATATAAATCTAAGGGTGTTGTTATGAATATAAAATTATTAACCCACTTTGAAAATTTCTTCTTCAACAACCTCCTTTTCCCTCTTGGCATTTAATCTCCTCCTATCGAATTTCTAACTTCTCAGGATATAATCACTTCCTATTTACATCAGAAAACTCCAAGTTTGTTTACGCCTCACAGCCTTCATCCCCTTACTATTACAGAAACCAGCGTGGCTTTTGCATTTTGTCCTGTTATAGCCCAGTGACCAGGTCATATGTGTCCTAACTGTATTTAAATCTCCTCCATCCACTCCTGTAGCTGAAATGTATGTTTTGGGTTAGTTAACCTTTTCCCGACATTCTCCTCCACTTCCAAGTTCACTACTCTGCATTAATATTACAGGTGAATAATAATAATATTAATCCCTTTACTCTTTTGCTCTTTTCTTTGTTCACGAGGACAGAAAGACTTTTTCTTGCAGACTCATGCACAGCTATGCATGGTGAACATCCTCTAGGGCAGTAAGAGAGTATCTTACATCCACAGGAAGCATTCCTAAGAGGGATAAAAGGGGGTAGAGTAGTGAGGTGAACAAATGCATTTGGAAACATGAGCCAGAAACCTCTCGAGGCTACCTTGTAGCTGTAGTGTGCAGAATAATTGACCCACTTCCTGACGTCAGTCTTGTCTTCCACGGAGATGGATCTTACGGCCGCTTTGGAGGCAGAGGTTGTGGGTGTGCTAAACTCCACGTTTACATGATTGGCAAATCTAGAAGGTACTTCCCGGTCAGAGCCAAGTTCAAGGTGGCAGAAGAAACAGTGCGGGTGACCAGAAGCTACGAAAGAAAAACAAAGAATCAAAAGACGAGGTTCTTTAGGGAGGAACTGGAAGAGAGAGACTAGAGGGGCCTCCTGAGTGAAAACCAACCAACCAGTTGCTGTCCAGACAATTCTGACTCCCGGCGACCCCATGTGTGTCAGAGTAGAACGGTGCTCCGGAGGGTTTTCAACGGCTGATTTTTCTGAAGTAGGTCACCAGACTTTTCTTCTGAGGTGTCTGTAGGTGGACTTGAACCTCCAACCTTTTGATTAGCAGCCAAGCACATTAACCGTTGCACCACCTAGGGCCTCCTCAAAACTAAAGGAGGCCTGAAAACTGCCGGCAGGCTGGCCAGCCGCCTGTCTTTCAGTGTCCAGTGCCAAGCAGAGGGTTTACCTCAGTCAGAAGCTAAGCTCTGTGTGCCTTCTACCCTTTGATGTAATACTATCTGATTATAGTAGCCTGGTATCTTAGCAATAAAACCCATGGCCTGGGAAACTGAGTCATTTTGTCTGCTCAGCTCACAGTGATAATTGAGCACAACACAAATACTAAGCAATAGGGGCTGGAGACTGGGAGAAAGGAATAAAAGGGACTGGCACTTAGCACCTAATAAAACATTAACGACATATGTCACTAAAAAGCACGAAGGACAAAACAATTAGAATTTTCAAGCATGAATACCTTAGTATTACTAGCTCTTATACTTGCCTGGAGCCCTGGTGGTGCAGTGACTAAGAGCTTGGCTGCTAATCAAAAAGGTCAGTAGTTCAAATCCATCAGCCACTCCTTGGAAACCCTACGGGGCAGTTCTACTCTGTCTTATAGGGTTGCTATGAATCGGAATCGACTTGCTGGCAATGGGTTTTATACTTGTCCATGCAATCACCCTTACCAGAGAACTTTCTTCTTATGTATGGTTTTGAATTACTTTCTAGTGTCTTTTCTCTTCCATCTGCTAAACTAATGATTTGAGATAATCTTTAAACTTTAAACCGAAAATATCCCCTGAGGTCTTCTTAAAACCAAATAAGAGTTTAGCTTAACTGGTAAAGAATGTCTGCTTTATGTTAATGGGGAAGGAATAATTTGGAAAGGGAGGGTGAGAATGGGTGCACAACTTGAAGAATATAATAAACGTCACTGAATTGTACATGTAGAAATTGCTGAATTCGTGTATGTTCTGCTGTGTATATTCTCAACAACAACAAAATAAAAGAAATGATAAACAAAGCAAAACCATCAATGACAGCCTCCTGGAACAAAACCATTGATTTCCTTTGAAAGATTACCTGAATTTTCTTAATAGCATTTCATATTTTAACAACTATTTTTTGGCATGTTTGTGTGAGTGAATGGTATACATAAATAACAAAAACCTTATAAACGGCACATATGTGTTAGGGAAGCGTGTGGTACACTGGACAGAACAGTGGCCTAGCAGTCAGAACAGCTGGGTTTGATGTCCAGCTCTCCTGCTACGTAGCAGAGATTCCACAGCCAGATTCCTCGTTCTCCTCAGGCCTTGATTCCTCATTAGTTAAAATGGAGAGACGAGGGAGGGGGTAGGAAAGGATGGGCTGGATGCCCTTTGTGGCTCTATAGTTCTATAAGTCTATGACTAATTCCACTGTTCTTGGACTGCAAACTTAAGGTCTGAATTTCATTTGAAGATTGTTGTTAGATTTTTCAGGAGAAAGTTAGAGTTAATTCCATGACTATAATCATGGAGGCATCATCATCAGACCTAGCAGGAAACATCTGTTGAGTGCCCTGTGCCAGGTACTGTGCTAAATGCTTTACACAGATTCTTTCACTGAATCTTCCTAACAGTCCTTTGAGGTTACAGTCCTATCTTCATTCTACAGATAAGGTAACTAAGGCTTAGAGGGAGGGAATCTGAACTGCCCAAGGCCACAGCTAGAAAGTGGTAGAGCAAGCTGACTTCAGAGTGTTCTGAATGACTTTGTCTAAATCATAATCTCATGGTCCCCAAGACCAGGTTTGCAGGGTGACAGGGTGGAGAGGAAGCAAGCAATAGAAACCCCTACTAGCAACTAGCTGTGGGTAAACAACATGAAATGACCATGAATTGGTTTTGACTTAATTACATAACTGAAACAGCCTCTCAGTTTTCCTAGTGTTCCCAAATAAATAATTCCCATTGTCTTTATTGGTCTGGGCGGGACTTTTTAATCTCAGAAAATGAAGACATACACACCCACTCTCCAAGGAAAACGTTATAGAATGAAGTATTTGTTTTGCTCTACTTCACAAATTTAATGTATTTCAATAGTTATTTCTAACAGTAATACTTTAGAAATTGACTAAAATTGTTTCTACTGGTTTTTAGGAAAGGAACTTAAATAAGACACATATTAAGAGTAAACATTATTTAAAAATGAATCCATATGATATTTAAAAAAACTAATTTACTGTGTATCACAGATATTACTTATATAATTATCATTTATTAAGATGCCAAGGAGCCCTGGTGGCACAGTGCTTAAAGCGCTTGACTATTAACAGAAAATGTTGGTGGTTTGAAACCATCAGTGGCTCCGCAGGAGAAAGATGTGGCAGTCTGCTTCCGTAGAGATTTACAGCCTTGGAAACCCTATGGGGTTGCTATGAGTTGGAACTGACTCAATGGCAGTGGGTTATTACATGCCAGGTACTATGCTAAACACTTAAAAACGTTATCTACTTTCATTTTTATTGAGCTATGCATTAATAACCCTATTTTTAGATGAAGAAAATGAGGGTTCTGTAAAAGGTTTTAAGTAAATTGCTTGAGGTCACACGGCCATTAAGTGGTAGAGATGGGAATAAAAAAACTCAGATGAGGCTCTGACTCCTAATTCTGTTCTAAACTCTTCTCACTATATTGCAACAGAATTAGATCACTTCCAAGTATACAGGGGAAAAAAAAGTCTCTTAATTCAATGGCAACTTAAACAATAGTTCAATTAATTTTAATTGTACCGTTGTTGGAATATTGAGAAAGCATTACTTTCTACAAAACTCACCTCCTCCTTTCATCCCACCAATGTGTACTGACAGCAAACTCTATGAAAGCAACATTCTCTTCTAGATATCTAGTTCAACTACTAGATGTGGAGGGCTGCTGGACAGATAAAAAAAAACCCAAAAAAACAAACTCATTGCCATTGACCTGATTCTGACTCATAGTTACCCTACAGGACAGAGTAGAACTGCCCCACAGGGTTTCCAAGGAGCGGGTGGTGGATTCGAACTGCCCATCTCTCGGTTAGCAGCCTGAGCTCTTAACCACGGCACCACCATGGCTCCGGTGGATAGATAGGGAGGTTCAATTTTGAAAGCTGGTATAGTTTAATTCATGACGATGAAATAAATAAGCCCACAAATTATGTCATCTTCCTTGATGAAGGTGAAAAAAATTAACATCGAAATTCAGATTTCTGTTTTCCATAAAAGGCGAAACATATTGAGATTGTTTTCTCCTCACTTGGTCTATCAAAGATTGGAATTGCAGCAAAGAAAGCTACTTATGCAGGTCAGAATGTTTTATTTCCTGGCAGAGGAACTGGGGAAGCAGCAATGCAGTGGGGTGCTATCTCAGATTCAGAAAAGCTGAGAGTGTAGGGTGGGAAAGGCCCTTGCTGAACACAGAGAAGGGAGCTATGCATGTGCAACGCTGGGCTGGGCCCTGCCAGCAGGCGCCATGTTGCGATTCAAGGTGGCTACTTGGTGTCTTGGCTGGGGTTGGGACAACTCTGCTGTGGATGTAGGTTTGGGATGCTGGCAAAGCCAGGAGTACTGACCCGCTGGCCCATGCTGCCTGTGGTCTAAGTGCACTGCCCCTGGGGATTGGGTTTGTAGGGGGCCACTCTGGGCGGAAGTAGGTGTGGAGAGGTTCAGGCCAGCTTCCTTCACTGTCTATAGGTTGTGAGGATTATGAAAGATAACCTGTAAAAGCACCTTCTCCCTTCTCACGGCTGTCTGAAGACAAAGAGAGAAGAGCTCTGAAAAGGGACTTTCACTAATAAATAAATCATAATTAATCTCTGGTTTCAAGAGTGGATAATTGGATGGGGAAGGCAGGAACTGGGCTCACTGAACATCAGCAATGGGTGAGGACTTGGAATCTGACTGGAATTCAGATCCTGTACACCTCGAGAGTTTCCAGAAAAGGGTGTTATCAATTTCCTGAACTAATACTGAAATATACCGTTAGCCAAAAGTAGTACAAGAGCATTCCCTCCCCCCTTTTTATTGTTTCACTACTAAAAATATTATATAACCATGAGCAGTAATGGGGGTAGGGGTTTGAGTGAAATCTTTCACAAATAAGGAAAATATGTAAGAAATATAAACTGTATTTACTTGGCCTTGAAACTACTGAAATCACTGGAAAGCATTAAAGAAAGGGTTTGCTCAAGACTTGTTATTTTTCTCCCTGTCCCATACTCATTTCCCCTTTCTTCTGGTAACAGCTGCTTTTTTTTCCTTTGGGAACTAATCTTCCCCAGCACTGCATGTCATCTTGGTGGTCATGTCAGTCTAAGTGCCCTGCCCTTCCCTCGACTCTTGAGCCAAGTGGCCCAAGGACAGAAAATGGCTTGTGATGATTTATCCCAATGGCTGCCCCCTAAGGAGGCATCCATTACTTTCTGCTACCTACTTTCTCAGAACTATTCTTGTGCTATCCTTTCTTAAGCCTTGTTCAACCTTTCCTTACGTTCTGTGAGCTACCCAAGTCCTTCCAACAATTCCCACCCTCACCCCCTTTTTTGCTACAATAGCCAGTTGGTCTTTGTTGCTTATAAGGAAAAACCCCTCATACAGTACTTCTAAATACTTAACAGAAAACACTTTGAAGCAATTGAGATATTGTGTGTGTACTTGTTGAGAAAACTGCAAATCTCTATGCTTGTAAGAAAAAAAAAACAAACCCATTGCTGTCAAGTCTATCCCTAGTCACAGCAACCCTATAGGACAGAGTAGAGCTGCCACACAGGGTTTCCAAGGCTGTAATCTTTACCGAAGCAGACTGTCATCTTTCTCCTGTGGAGCTGCCAGTGGGTTCAAACTGCCGACCTTTCAGTTAGCAGCTAAGCGCTTTAACCACTGTGCCACAGTGAAAATTATTTCAAGTTGTGTCTGTTTGGTGTCATCTAATAAGAAGCAGCTGTGGCACAGCTGTGCGACTTCAGATGAGTCACATCACCTCCTGGGCCTCGCTTTTCTCATCTGTAAAATGAAGAGGTTTCACTAGGTTATCCCCAAGGTTGCTTGCACCTTGAGAATCCAATGATTGCATAATTAAGAAATCAGAATCCATGCTTAGGAAACTGAAGAGCTAAAAATTCCCATAAACATAAACCTGAGGCCAACTTGCCTTTTCCCATGTCACGCTTCTAACACATCAAACAGTAATTTTTATCACCTTGGTTCTCTCTTCCCAAGGGCTCCTGTGCCAAGGGGAATTCAGAGTTCCTCCTTTTCCTCTGCCAAGTCAGCCCCGTGGCTGTGGGCTGTCACCAGGAGAAAACAGTGTGAACTTCAGGGGAAAAGAATAAGCAAGCCCAGAGAGGAAGACTTTGTCTTAAAAATTCTGTCAGTATAGAAATAGGGGCTGGCAAAACCAGCCTCAAACACAGAGGTTCAATTGTCTCTTCAGTTTGCCCCTCTACAGCCAGTGTCTGACACAGAATGCCCTGGTGTGTGGGTCCACTGCCTGGAGAGGTGATCGGATTGCCTCCCACCATCACAACATATCACATCTAGGGCCTGATAACACAGCCACTGCACTCAGAACCAGAAAGGAAGACCCTACGTACACTGTGATGATTTAATAGTGAGAATAGGGAGAAGGGTCTCTGCATAAGACATTTCAACCCAGAGTTCTTCCAAAACTTATTCTTTTCACTTGGCTAGGATAAGCCACTTTTGTTACCAGATGGGCAACATTTACTACAGACAAGAAGAGAAGTGGTTTAACAGCTCACGGGATCACAGGCATTGCTGTCAGTGGAGTGCCTGGATGCCCTCTGAGAAATAAGGCTCTAAGACCTGGTTAGATTGCTCCCTAATTTTGCCATTTCCCTAAACCTCACTGGACTCTCAAGGAAAGTCACTGCCTTTCAGGCTCACTCAAGCATAAAAATACCCCCCAGCCCGTCTTCATGATAGCTGGGAATAGGCCAGGTGGGGTTGGTAAGGGCTTTTTTTTTTTTTTGGAGGAGGGGGCAGGGAGGTTGTTTAAATTAAATATCCCTTCCTTCATTTTTTGCCTAATAGAATTTAGGCCCTCTTGGACCTTCATGGCTGAATCTTCAATCTGATTGGAAGTTACTTCTCTTCCTCATCACCAAGTCCCAGAGCCAAACTCTGAGCTTGAGATGTTATAATTGACAGGACTTATACAGAGTGGCTGGAATCATAAATCTAACTTCTCACATGTATTATGCAGATAACTGGCCATATATTGGCCCTTTTACCTACACCTGGGCATAGTTAGAAAGATACCTCTTCAGAACCCAGAAGCCTCCAGGATCTGGAAATGGATTGTTTCCAGTACCATAGCTAATAATTTAATGACTCAGAAAAGGACGAACATTCATAAGCTGCTCGGGAGAGCTGTGTAGCAGTTCAGCAGAGAAGAAAAATACATAGTTTTATAGAAGTATGAGAATAAGGTGGTGAAAAGATGGAGTGAGCTTTTCTGGTCCCATTATCCCTCCATCACTACTCCCAACACACAAAAAGAATGAACATTTTGTACAGGAATAGGATTTAGAATTACGATCCCCGTTCTTTCACAGCCATGCAGTAGTTTGCACAGAGAGAAATCTCTGCTTACCTGAGTTTTTATCAGGCAGTCGGTTTATCCTCCACACAATGGAGTTGAAGGCATGCTCATACTTGGCAGTTCCCAGAGTCACTCTCATGACAGGCTCAGAGCCAGACACGCTGGTGGAGCCAAAACTTGCCCCGCGGTTCACTTTGGCTTTCAAAGACTTTTCCCCTAGGACACTTTCCCTGCGGAAATTTTTCACCCACTCACTGGGCACAGGGTAACGTACCATCACATTCTCACAGGGAACCTGAGTGAGAGGGTCACGGTTAGAGGAAAAGCCAGTTGACATCCTAAGCCAGCTCTGCACCTCCACCTCGGCCCCACTGATGCTTGCTGCTGTCCTGAGTGTGAAAGGCAAGGTCTTCTCAGCAAACACTGTCCTGAACCGCATTAGCTCAAATCGGCATGCGTCCAAAGGGTTGAACAGAATAATCCGTGAGTTGCTGAATACACCCTCATCCACACATGCGTGGAAACGACACTCATGGAGCTTTATCCACTTTGTGGTGGTGGTAGGCATGATGTCCTGCCGGGAAACTATTTCGTTCCCCTTGACGAGGACGTCATTGAGGCCCAAGCGGCACTCTGCAAGCCCCGAGAGGAAACTAAGAACGTGGATCCGTGTCATGACATGGTGCTGGAGAATCTGGTTGTCTCCTTTGCTCACAATGCCAGAGAATTCGTCTCTGACATCCACTGTAATCTCCTCTTCAAGATAGTTCAAGCCAACTGTGCTCAAGTCCATTGATGACACTGGCAGGTCCATGAGACGGTCCTGAACTGCACGGATGAAGCTCAGGAAGTCATCGTAACTGGTGGTGCCCAGCTTAATCACCTGTTCCCTCTCTGCTGTGTGGGCCACGGCAGGTTTAGGCTGGTATTTCTTCTTCTCCTTATAGGCGACACGGTCAATTCGCAAGCTGTGGATCCTGCCATTCTCATCATAGCTCTGGAGCCGAGGTTCTGAAATCTCATGGCAAACCTCCAGCTTGAACTCACGGAATGGTTTTTCTAGGCCCTGCTCGTAATATAGCTGCAGATAACCACATTCTGTAAGTTTCACGTAGATAGGCCCCCAGTGCCTGGAGGACATGATGTTTTTTTTCTCAGGGATCCTTAGCATCATTGGCCATCCATCCCTGGGCTGGGACAGTGCTGAAGCAGGCATGTGATCATCTAGTTCAATCCAGGCTATTGGGTCATCATCAGGTAACATGGCACTGCCCGAGTTATCAGGATCATCAATTTGGAGTTGCTTGAGTTTTTCAACAGCATCGGAGTGTGACTGGTTTTTGCTTGAGTCATCAAAACTGATGGCATCCTGGTAGACAACAATGAGGGAATCTCTTTGGCGTTTGCCTGGTGTGCTAGAAACGGAATTGTTTTGGAGGCGCCTCTCCTGCTCCTCAAAGAAAGCACTGAAAGGGTTGATAGGGGAGGGCTGCACATCCTGCAGAGTCTCATTCAAGAAAGGATTGGTTGCCCTCCAAGGTGGAGCCTCAGTTATGGAAGGTGGACGGTTCAAGGAGGAAATGTCTAGCTTCGGAACTTTAGAGAAGTTCATCAAAGTGCTCTTGGGACGTTCCCTCTTCTTAAAGGACCCAGTTGAGTTATTATGTACATCTGGGATCACAGATGCAATAGGTGGTGTATTCGGCTTCAGAGGAGAGGTGACTGGTGGCAAAGGGCGGCTGACTTCATTGTCTTCAAAAGTTACCCAGCTTGGGAAACGGGCAGAGGTCACTGGAATAGCAGGATGCCCGTTCATGTCTGGGTTGCTCACCTGCCAGTTGATGGCCTCCATCTCTACTTCTTCATCTTCCTGGAGTGAGAAGGAATTGTCTTAAAAAAAAAAAAAAAAAAGAGGAAGAATATATAAGGGGCTGTCATTCTAACTGAGCACATATGTGAATGAGGGGTCACTAGAATTTTACTTGGAACCCAGTAAATATCAAAGCAGCTCATTACCTGTCTCAAGTGCTTAATCTGGGCATGGATCTCATAATCTTATAATTAGACAAGGGCTATCACATTAAATCCAGCATATACAAATGGCTATATCAATACTGAAGCACTAGTAGGACCAAGGTCACTTGTAATTTAACTTTTATACACTCTTCCTTTGTTTTATATGTCTCCAAAATAGGTATTTTCTTTACTCTTTCTAAGGTATGTATTCTTAATTTTCAAATCTGAAAACCATCTCCTATATAAAATGATATAAAGCTGATCTCATTGAACGAACAAGTTCTGCTGTAAGTGATAATATGACTGTAATAGTGTAATTGGATGATTTTAAGGCCAAATGCAATCAATAAATACTAAAGACAAAATGTTAACACCCATAATATGTAGTAAGTTCATACAAATCAATAAGAAAAATACAAAAAATCAAATGAAATATGGGCAAAGTACATAAACAGACAACTCACGAAAGAGAAACTACAGATTTCTAATAAGCATATGAAAAACAACCTCAACAGTCATCAAAGAAATGCAAAATATACTAAAAATTTTAAAACATCAATGAAGATTTAAAAAGTTTACCCTCAAAGACACTCAAGGTGTTATGATATGGATACTAAATAGACCCTTAATGAGACTGTAAGTTGTTACAACTTAGTGATTCTAAGTTATCATTTCCCTAATGAAAGGTATCAAAATTGTGAACAAAATTTGAAGAACAGAGATGTCCACTAAGCATTACTTAAAATAGAAAAAAAAAAAAAAGGAAGGATTTTAAACATTGAACAGTTGGATGGAACAGCTGGATGAATGTTTAAGAAATTAATCACCTGTTCATTCATATGCATGAATAATACCCAGTCATTAAAATGTTTACAAAGTATGCAATGACATGAGAAAATGCCCATGATATAATCTCTTATTTTCTTCTGGTTTTTTTCCCTTTAAAAGACTTTTCCATATTGAGGTTTATTTATTTTATGGTAAAAAGGTTATTATACATAAAACTCCACCCTAGCAGAGCCTTCAAGGATAAGATACAGACAGGACATGAGTTTTGACGAAGGAAAGATGCAAACCTCTTAAGTAGCATAAAGATCTGGAGTGTCTGCTGGGGGTGTGGGACCACCAGTAACTAGTGACCATTGAGTCGACTCTGACTCATGGTGACCTCATGTATGTCAGAGTAGAACTGTGCTCCATCAGGTTTCAATGGCTGAGTTTTTAAAAGTAGGTCCCCCAGGGCTTTCCTCCAAGGTTCCTCTAGGTGGACTCAAACCTCTAGCCTTTTGGTTAGCAGCCGAGTGAGTTAACAGTTTGTACCACCCAGGTACTCTGGGGTTGTGGGAATGGAAGGGAAGATGAAGTCTTAGCAAGGAGGAGTGGATTCAATAAAGAAATGGCACAGAAAAAAATATCTGGCATACAGTAGATACTCAGTAAAGGTTTGTTGATTGAGGAAAAGAAAGCTTGCTTTGGAGTAGTCTTTCTATTCTCTAGTCTATGTCTCTAAAGGAAATGGGTATAGGAATCTGACATCATTCCACCCACTGTTTCTATTGCTAGTCATTTGGAATCAAAGAGAAATGCATACTCAAATGGCTGAGTTTTCTGACTACTTCACTGTATCATTATACATATGGATATCCAACCATGCCAAATCAGCAATGCCACACTTAACTGCACACACGTGGGTGGGATGGCTGGCTTGTCATCCACATTTCCAAGAACAGTAAAACCTGCAAAAGCCAGAACCTGTGTCCGGCGGACAGTTGTCAGAGAAGGAAAACTCAAATATTTTCTACTAATGAAGAGTGATAGAAAAGTGGCAAGACTGCACCCTGGCAAACGCGGAAAACTCGCGAGACCCGGAAAAAAGTCCTGTTGAGTTCCAGTCTCACAGGTTTCACTGTATATTAAACAGCACACCCTCAACTGAAAAGGTCCGTTTGAAAATGTAGGATAAACACATGAGCATGCATATATACGTATCCACACGTGTCCTAGAAATACAATGAGCAAAAAGTGTTTTTTATATGTAGAGCATCACAAAAGGATTTCAGAACACTTTAAAATTAAAGATGAGAATCTCCTTCAATGAAATCATTAAAAAAGTTTTGGAGCTGTGTAATTTATTTACTGGTAAATCAAGGGAAAGGGGTCAGGAAACAACTCAGGCTTGTAGGATTTTTATTTTATTTATTGTTATTTTCTGTAAGGAAGGCTAAACAGAACACTGTAGCCCTGAGTAAAATAATAATCACTTCTTTGGAGCAGCGACATCCCCCCTAGAGAACTGAGAAAGGAGTGTATGTCAAAATCCATCAATTTTTAATGAGGCATCTCTATGGAGCTTTTGTAATGTAAAGTTTCCGCCCAGACAGTCCTTTACTGTCCCACCCCTTGTACCAGGGATATCCTTTTTGCCTTGGAGCTCATCACCACTCCCTACTTTAAAACAAGATGAAGTCCTTTTCCTTTATAGGGTGGTTTCCTGCCAAAGCTGTTTGTACTTGCTACCAAAGGATTCCCTTCTGCTAGGAATCTTGTCCCCAAAATAACATTTCTCATCTTCTTCTCCCAAACCAAAAAAAAAGAAAAGACTTTTGTTTCCTCTGACAATAATTTTCTCACAATGAATTCTCTTTCAAACCAAGTTATTTAAAATCACACTAAGTCCTAGACAATGTTGAAACATTAGACTCATAATACAATTTAAATAAAGTGTCTATAAATTTGGAGGGAGAACTTTGGAATGAAATTCATCTCTAGAGATTCTATTTTCTCTTTGACAGCCATTAAAAAGACTTTGTTACAAAATTCTCTCTCCTTTGGCAGTTCAATCTCCCATGTTTTAATAATCTACCCTTTGGGGTAATGATGGGGTACAGGGCAGATTTCTGAAAATGAGCAGCTATTTTTCTGTGAAATCATTCTTAAAGGAAAAAAAAAATCTTTACAGATGAAAAGCAGAAGCTGGTCGGTCCATAGTTCACATGAAATAAACAATTTTTTGATGTGAACGCAAATATTGCCAAATACTACTTTAAAAAATTATCCCTTATTAATACTGACTTCCCTGTTTGTGAGCTCTTAATTTTGCTTCATTTCTCATTTGACTGAAAGACATCTTCAATTGTTTTTATGAAGCATATGTCATATATTCTCTGGGCCCTTTTGTATTAAAGGATGTCCTTTGAGACTTACACATGTAAAAAACAGTTTATCTGTATGTAACATTTCTGGGGGGAAATATTTATATCACATATGACAAAAAGTTAATGTCTTTAATATATAACAAGGGTGTGTGTATCCTTAATAAAAATAGATACACCCTTACAAATAAAAAGGATAAAAAGAACAAACAGACAATTCACTAATGAAGAAATGTAAATGTCTATAACTATTTGGGAAAAAGTTTAACCTTATAAAACAACAAAGCACAATTCTCCAAGTATCAGATAATATATACATATATATAATACACATATACTTTGGAATATATTATTCCATAACATTTTGATATGAAAATAAATGTCTCATGTGGAGCATGAGGTGACTTAAATTTTAAATCTGTATTCTTTCTCAAAAATATAATACTATATTGCTTACAAAATAAAGAAATAACAACAGTTCAAAATATATCCTCTTTATTACTACAGAAGCCCTGGTGGCACAGTGGTTAAGTGTTTGGCTACCAACCAAAAGGTCGGTAGTTCAGATCCACCAATCGCTCCTTGGAAACCCTGTAGGGCAGTTCTACTCTGTCCTATACAGTGTCTATGAGGTCTATGAGTCAGAATCGACTCAAGGGCAGTGGGTTTGTTTTGTTTTTTTTGTTTGTTATTACTACTACCAATTAACCTTACAGAAAGGAAACAAATAGCTATAGTCTGTGTTGATAAAACAGTAATTAGATTGTTCCTAAGACAATTATGACTGATATTGGAAATAATTAAAAAAAAAAAAAAAAAAGCCAGTACATTTGTCCAGTAAGAAATAGGCAAAAATTAACTCTCTTTACGACAAAGTTAACTGTCATCCACAATTCCATTTTACTGATTTATGCAAACGAAACTGAAACAAAAAATCCAGCATTTTTTTAACTGCTATCTCTTCAGCTTACTACCTCCAAATTGCTTTTATTACGAGCTGGGTTGCTGCCAAACAAAAGCCATGTATAAGGATTACATTCTCATTCTATACCACATTAAACATTTAACTATTTCAGATACAAACTGAAGAAAAATGGTGATTTCTTTTAACGTTAGACTACAATCTATTTGAAAATTAAGTTCTCAAAAGATTTATTTAAATGAAGTATTTCATTGTAATCAACACCATCAAAACTGAAGAGAAAATAAGAACTATGGAAAAAAATTATCCATTTTTATGATGTTTTGAACAGACAGATACTCTGCTATCTTCTTTCCCACATTTGTTAAACTAGTTTTTAACACAATGGCAAATGTGAAAAGCTTGTGAAGAGTTGATAAATGGAATTTATTAACAGTGGCAAGAGCAAATAGATTTAAATTACTGCAGTTTTCTCAACAGGAAGTAGCAGTCACTGTTATATATGAGCACATATTTAAAACTGTATAATCAGCCCCAGATACACAGCTGGCACTGTAATACTTGTGGAGTAACCTGTAAAGTGAGAAGAGGGATGTAGAATTTCAGGACTTGAAGAGATTCTAGAAATAATAAAATTGAAGAGATTCTAGAAATAATAAAACCTAACCCCTTCACATTGCTAAGAAGACAGACGCTCAGTGAGTTTAAGTAAACTGCCCAAGATGAGATTAGACATCAAGCCCTACTTTTAATTTTCATTAACTCTGGTATTTCCTTAATGCTTACTCATTATGCTAAAA